GCCTTAGACAGGGCAGGTAAGTCAAAAAGTACGAGGTGGACAAAGTTTTTGTTGGTTTTGGTCTTTTTATGGCATTTGTTGACAATAAGAAAAAGATAGAATAACACAACTTTTAAATAAATTAAAGTTTTTTGTAGAAAAACATATTTATATTCCTTGAATTTAGGTATTAAGTATTCTTTTTTCACCAAAACTAAGCTATTGAATCAGTATTGTAATTGAGTATTGAACTTTTCCAAATAATAATGCATAATAATGTATGCAGTGCATTTTTGAGTTAATCCAAAAGGTTTATAAAAAGGTTTTATCCTTCAGTTTATTTGGAAGACCTTAAAAAGCAAATCTAATTCAGATCAAATTTGGAGCGTGTTTTCATTGGACAGATGTACCGTTTTTATCACCGCAGATGGACATTCTCCTGCTTTCCTCTGGCCTCGTCTCCTCTCCTCTCTCTGAATGGAGGCATCATGTGTGATGTTTAAATGCTCGGCTCAGAAAACAAAAACCTTTGTCTGTGTGGCTGCAATTCTTTCAAGATTAGCTTGTTTAACGGAGAGTAATTCCACTGAGAGGACGCACTCCAGCTCCCATCTGCCCGAATGTCTCTCTATCCTTCTATCTCATTCTGTCTCACACACACACGCACACACACGCACACAGATGAATCCTGAATGTCAAGTTTGTTAGTGGCTGCAGTGAGTACATTCTTTTCAACATATTGTTTGTATCATCTAGTATGCACACAGTTTACATTCATCTTAATCGTATTAATGGATGCACTCAACGGCATCAGAGATCTCTATATAAATTAGCTTTTCCATGTTTCCCTTTGATATAAACTGGTGCTGCAGTTTAATAGAGCAGCTCATTGTGTTTTCATCAGCCTGTTGACTTGTTAATGGACGTCACCCACAAAAATGTTATATAAATCCTGCAACAGGATTAACAGAGTTACTGTTAAAGACTTACTTTTTACAATTTTATTATGATTTACAGGTCCACCTTGTCTATTCCTCTTATCTTGATTCACTGTTTCAGTTATATCGTGTCACTGGTTTTATGTCGACAGTCTTATAACTCCCGGTTCTGTGAGGCAAAAGGAAATTTATGCATTCATGAAACTCAGCAGCCACCTGAAAATATCTTCTCCTGTGTTGAAGTTTCACCTTTCCTGATCACAAATGAAATCAACCGCCTGTGAATTTGTGGGGATGTCAGCTGGAAAAGTTAACATTAAAAACTTTTCCGAATACTAACAACAATATCTTTTGTTTTAGTTTGGATATTTCTTAGGGATGCACTGAAACTGTAAGTTGGCCCATATCAGCTTTAAAACTCTATTAATCAGTATCATTATCTTGAAAATCAATCAAATGGCTGCTGTGTACAGGGGTGTAAAACCAAAACAATGAGCTGAAAGAACCTAGAGAACTTGTGGGTTCTCTAGGGTCCTTCAGCTCATTGTTTTGGTTTTACACCACAACTGTGTGGTTCAAGGTGTGTTTAAACAGAAACAGCCAACGTACCAAATGTATGTTAACCGTAAGCTAGTTAACACCAGTCACACCGACGATGTGAGTGGTAGTGTGCCTCTGTGTTTGTGCTCAGCCTCTGACTGTTGTAAGAGCTCACCAGATACTCTGGTTGTTTCTCACACAGTATTTCCCTGCGGTCTCTCTCTGTTTTCCCTTTGTCTTTGTATGTTTATGAAGCAGATTCATAGAGCCCTGGGATACACACAAAGTTTTTGCTTTAAGTTGAAATGTTTTCAACTTGAAATGTTGAAATTTTTCTTTGTGTTCTGTCTGAACAGACAGTCAGTCTCAGCCCTCTCATCAACCCCACTGCCAACAGCAGCAGGCAGCCGTATTCAGTAAACAAGCGCTGATAAACCCACTGTACACTATCGATATGTCCAGCACCAAAAAACAGACGATATTTACAGCTAGCTCGTAAAAAAGTAGAACATCTAGTGGCTAAAAAGCCACATAGTTTTCTCACAAACTGGTAGAGACAAAAACGGGGCTTAAAGGAGGGTGAAACATTCCTCAGTTTGACAGAAAGACAAGTCAAAGAATAAATGAACAACTTAATCGGACAAAGATGTGTCACAGTTATGTACATGCACCTTCTAGCTGCCAGAACCAACACATGTAGCTTAAAAATGTTGGGATTTTTCTTGTTTTCACTGGTAAAATTGGCAACAGAAGGAAACATGACTTTTGACTGTTAAGAAAAATAGATTCTTTTGAAAAATATATGTTGAGATAATTGGGCATTATGGGTACAAACATACTGGACATGGGTATGACCTCTAAACAAGCGTATCAGTGCATCCCTGACTTTGCTTTTTATTCATTAAAGGTTGGCATTTTGAAGGTACACAGCAGGGATCTGCTGTAAAAACAAAGCATGGATGTGTTGTTCTCCTCTCTCACTTGTCACCGGAAAGATTCAGGAGTGTTTGAAGGCAATTTCTCACAGAGCTGCCCTGTTGGCATTCTTAAAAGCCCAGACTACTGCTTCACTTTGTGCCTGAGTCTCATGCAGCAGTTCCCTTGATGACATTTACATTTGTCTTTATTTGCTGTCTCCTTGTTTTGAGCATACTTTTTCTCTTTGCATTCATTAACTCGCAGACGGACACACACCACTCACATTAAACACATAAATAACACACATCCATGCTTAGATTAATTACTCCAATTACTTCATATTTCTGCCTGCAGCCTAATGTGAGTCTCTGGAGTGACACATGGAGGATGCTTGCTGTACATCCTGCCCAAGCTTATACTCTTCCTGAGAGGAAGCAAATCATCTCCACAACAACAATCACTCCTCATTTGTTACTTGACTCTCTCATTCTTATTCTGTGTCTTCCTCTCTCTCTCTCGCTCCATCTCTCCCTCTACCTGATTGCTTATCTCCTAATTGCTTTTCTATAAATGGATAAATTGTGTGCGTGCGCGCACACATGTTCCATGTGTGAGCATGTGTGGAGAAGTCTTTCTAAAATCTTTGGCAGTGTCGTCCTCTAAATGTCTCATTACTTCCCTCTTGGGTGTAATTGCTGCACCGAGCACAGCTTCAGCAAACCCCCCAGGGTGAATATAATTAAAACTATAAAATTACAAAATAAAATCATCAATTGTTATGCAGCAGGGAGAGCAGCAGGAGTAAAGCTGAGTGGTCTGAGGGAAGGAGTCAGGGATTTTATTCCCTCTGAGAAAACTTCCACATAAACTGGCCAAATCTGAAAAGGTATCTTTGATCCGTAACTTTGATCTTTTATTCTAACAGACGAAAACTGTTTCAAAATTGCTCCAGAGTGACTGAATCTGAACATGACAGCCTTGCGTTTAGTGTGCATTAGGAAAACTTTGTTGTCATCAAAGTCCTAATCTTTTATTTGATTTTCAAGAAACCTAATTTTTTATTCTATTTTTGGCAATAGCCCCTCAATGTTTTACTTTCTTAAACTGCCTTTATACATGTGTAGTTTATATATTTATATGTTTATGTGTTAGTGGCAGGATCTGCCCTTCATGTGCTGGATTCACATTACCTTTGCACCAACCAGGTGTTCACAGGAAATAATGCATGCATGTCATCCAGTGTTTACCTTGCGCTGCCATCAGCCTCACTGTTTACTGTAAACTCTCCTAACACTGCATCAAAGCTGTATCAAGTTGCTGCTAATGCATACTGAATGTTTCCTGCTGCTGCTTCACATTAAAAGCATTCAACTCGCAAAATACAGGGTGGCTTTTATTGTGAAACAGTCAGAAAGCACGCAATGCATTTGTCACAGAAGTTAGCCCTAACCGTGATTGCTCATCAAAAAGAGCATCTGCAGAACAAGACGATGGTCATTTGTTGACAGCGGATCAGTTTAAAATATTGCAGGGAGTGATTTAACAAGAGGGAGCAGCCACAGTGAGCTGCTGGATGAAGAGCTGCAGGTGAGAAGCTGCACATATCCAACTCCTCAGCAGGGTAAACAACTCTTTCTACTGTGGCCTGCTGTTGTCTGTAAAACTGTGATGCAGAATTTGTTGTTTGCCAATGGAAACAGTGACATTTTCAAATTCAGCTGGCTCAGTGTGGATGTAGTCTCAAACGATACACACACACAGGGGGGAAAGGAAACAGGAAATGAAGAACTTTTGTGTGAATACCATATGAAGGTTTCTGTCATTCACGTATACAGTTTTTTTTTATGTCTGATCACACAGATATGAGTATGTTTTTGTGTTGTTTGCCTGACATGATCCATGTATCCATTTCCTTTTTGGGAGAAGGTGGTAGTGTGAAGATGGGCCTATAGCATCGCTGTAAAATTTGCAGATTCCCATGTCGGCAGGAAAGCCTGACTCATCATCATCATCATCTTTGAAATATATTACCTATATGTTGATGATGCAACAGAGGTTACGGGTTTTATAATTCATATAGGAGTATCTTTATGTGTACAGTATATATGCATCTGTATCTACATTTGTTCATTTTTACATATACAAATCCGAGCTCGTAAAGAGCCAGAATCAGTCTTAGATGTGCAGCTGTCTCTCAGATAGAAGCGAAAAAATAAATAAAATCAACTGACCATGGGACGTGGGAGCGCTAGGAGAAGTTCCAGTGGTTTTCAAATGATTGCAAATCCACGAATTCTAACACTGAGAGAACAAAGAAAAGAAATAGGTTTCACTATTTTCCATTGTAGTGCATAAGGTCTCACAGTGGGGAGGTAACACGTTGAGGAGAATCCTGAACAAAGTCCACAGTGGAGATAATACCGTATAAATTTGAGTATCATGTGTCCAGATTCAGGGGTTTAATGGGAGAAGGGCTCAGAGATCAGGTGGTGGTTTGTTTACGTCTATCTAAAAGAGTTGTGCCATTTAAATCAACAGACGCTTCAATGTCTCCCTCTCATCTTCTCCTTGTACTGCTCTGCACTTGACCTTCACTGCTCTTGTGATCGTCCTCTCTCCGCTCAGCTATAGCGCCACATTGAACTCCGTCACCAGGAAGTCCACGTGGTCCCTCTCTTTGGTCTTGAAGGCCTCGGCGATGAGGCGTGCAGCATCCCTGTGCTCGCGGCCCCTCAGGGAAACCCCGTTTACCTCCAGGATCACCTGACCCACCTTCAGCTGGCCGCAGTTATGAGCTGAACCACCCCTCTGAGAAACAGAAACAGACACAGACAGAAAAGCACAAGGTGGATTTTAGAAGAACTTAATTAGTGCAACCATTTCTCTCTGAGTGACAGAGAATCTGATGCATGCTTTTATATCCTGCAGGCTTGACTACGGTACTCTAACCCTCTGTTATCTGGTTTACTATGTTATAAATCAGCTAATGCTGATTGACATCCAACACATTACACCTGTTTTGAAGTCCCTTACACTGGTTGCCTGTCAGTTTCTCTTTTAATTTCAAAATTCTCTGTTTTTAAAGCACTTCATGGTCTTGCACCAGCATATACAGTATGTCTCACATGCTTACAGTCTATGAACCAGTACAGCTGTCTGGTAATGCTTCTGAAGTGCAGGACTGAAACCTTTGGTGAGGCAGCTTTTATACTCCGAGCTGCTGGAACAGTCTCCAAGGACCTGAAGCCATCTTTAAACTTTAACTCGAAATGTACCTCGATTTTAATTATGGTTTTTAATTATTATAGAATTTATTTTTATTTACTTATTGTATTGTATCTATGTTGTAAATTGTATTTTATTGTATTTCTATCTGTTATTTTGTTAAGATTCTTATACAGTTTTCTATGTTATTATAGCTTTTAAAGCTGTTTTATTGTAACTCATCATCAGATTTCTTATTTTTTTGACTTATCAGTCATTCTGTGAAGCACTTTGAACTCCACTAACCTGTATGAAAAGTGTTACACAGATCACGTTTGTTTGATTTGATTCATTGATTGTTAATTTAAAACACATTGATGGGCCTCATGTGGGAACCTCTCATACGAACAAATTTCATCAAGTGGCACATACTAGAGAACTTGTTTGATTCACCAATTTTCTCTGATTTACAAACTTTTCATGGACACGGCCGAAACTGACAAGGGGTACAGGTCTGTGCAGGTCATGCGCAGATGGTGGGAAAAGACTCATTACGTAAAGTGAAGGTGATTTTCGACAGCAGGACTTGAAGCACTACAGTGTAAAATTCTTCTTTTTACTCTCAGGTGATATTTTTGTGAATGCCGCCTGCTCGCAAATGGAGCAGAACGGGCCAGCTGACAGTATGCAGTCATTTGGAGGCATTGTTTATACTAACAATCACGTCTCACAAATGTGCAACTACTCGTGAACAGGTGGGATTCATTAAGCTCAAATGACCAACTTGCTAAATCGGACTTGGACCACTCGTCCAAACAAGGCTCAGGACCAGGGTTGGGATAAGAATATGAAAATGTCCTTGCATGAGTAAATCTGCTGTAATGATCAGTGAATCAAAGCCAAATAAAAAAAAAGAGAAGCTACAGCACCACCACCAGAATAACAAAAAAACACCTTTGTAAAACACCGGGATAATATAAACACTATATCAGTTCTGTCATTACCTTTCAACAGACTTAATATTTTTTTTAGAGGACAGAACAGTCTTTGATGGGTCTGGAAATGCCATCAAAAAAAGTGGTAAGCGTTGTGAATCAACATGCACGGCTTTTTACAAAGTTTGGTTTGTATTTCTCTCAGGGGAAAAAACAAAAAGCTTCTGTCTGTGATCAAATACAGTCATCACCACAAAGAGTCTCAAAGGTAAAACCAATCATTACATCAAAGACCTGGGACTAACTGCAGCTCAGGACTAGGCCAGCCAGCCAAAAAGAAGTCTTCTTGTTCCTTCTGTCAAGAGCCAACAAAGAGTCTTTACAAGAGTCTGAGATTCCTGCTTCTGTTCTGTTACAGCCAAGTAAATAAGTCCTCACTGTGTCCAAGCTAAAATTTAAACATTGAACCATAAATGCGACAGGTACTGCATTAGCATACAGAGACACCCTGTCAGAGAAACACACATTCACACACACACGAACCTCTGCAGTCTGGCTCTCAGAGGCTCAGCAGTAAATGTATGCAGCCTCATGCCTTTACAAAGGAGTGTGTGATCAACAAAATGAAATGCTCTCTCCTGACCTGCAGCGCCCCCCCCCCCCCGTCGCAGTTTCATCCTCACACTTTTCATCTGTGATCAGAAAAATGTTGCGCGCTGACATCTTGGTAGATATTCAGAAACACACCAGGACTGGGGTCTCGTTTCTTAAGTCTCAGCTCTGTTGGCAGTGACATTAGAAGACTCCTGAAAGAACCAGCGCATCTCTGCCTCTATACGTCCCAGAATGTCATCAATTTCATCATCCTCAGCCACAGTCTTGAACCGCTGCACTGAAGGGGTTAGTTTCTGTGCGAAGACCACTCTGGTCTGGACGACTCATTTCACAAAGTAGGTCCTCAGCACTGTTGTTTCTGTGAAGCAAACCGAAGTCATATTTGTTCGCCCTATCTCCTCACATCCCCAGAGGAGGGCTATAAAGTGAAGAAGTCATGACTGCTCTCTTTCCTCTTCTCCAGTCTGAAGTGGAAATCACACATTTTAAATCTCAGTCGAGACCAGTCTTCATCAAAATTACTTCCATCACACATTTATTTTAACCGTCTCTGCAGTGAATGGTTTACGTAACGAAGAAATGTGCTTTTTCATGTCAAGAGGCGAAATGTAATGACCTCTGCAGGCCTCTCACGGCAGTTAGTGCAGTCTTGCACAAAGCCACTGCAGACTTCTGGGATTATGTCATTGCAGCTTGGGCGAGGATCCTGCTCTCTCATTTGAAACCAACTGAGCGTGGCTCCTTGGTGATGACTGGGTTGTGATTGGCTGCACAACCCCTGGGCCAATCACTTTCTCCTCTCTGAACAAAGGAAACCCTCATATTTTCAAGACAGAGAGAACGAGGACAGATTGTTCTAATGTCTAAGTGGCCTCACCCTAAAGCATACAGCAGATGATAAACTTGATGTTCACTGCTGGACCGACAGCCAGAGCCTGATGTTTTTTAGAGGTTGGTAGAGACCAAACCAGAGCTAAAAGGAGAATTAGAACTGGACTTACATTCATCATATTGGACACAAATTCAACTTCAACTTGATGATAATGTTGCTCTGTATCTGCTGGATGTCTATTTGCTAACATGTGACCAATAACAACTTTATAAGTCCATAAAATATCAGAGCAGTGTGTCAGCCATTAATTAGCCATAAAAATAAACAAATACTGCTTTAAACTACATTCAAACCAAATAACAACATATCTACAGAAAAACAAATCACAAGTTCCACTTACTCATGATCTTGAAAACACACCAAAGATTCCACATTCTCCTCCTCATGACTCTGACAGCTAACCTCATTTACGTGCAACTACAATGGCTAAAGTGTCCTCCACATCAGGACTGCATCGCTATTTACTGAGCCTACAACAGTTACCCCAAGCGAGTGGAGCAGTCTGTCGTCATGGTGGGAAGATGGCAGCGATAACAGGCTGTTGCCTCCGGAGGGGTGATGGGGACTGATAACAGCTGGTTGGCTAGCAGTGGCTTACTCATCTGCACTTCATCCCCTGCAGCTGTGATTGAGGCGACCTGAGTAGACAGGCCTCGTGCCCACAGAGACAAGGAATACAGAAGCCAGAGGTTTGCTGTACGGACTGTGAGCACTTCCAATATAGCAGAGAGGCGGTATTGTCGAAGGCATTGGCTGTGATGTGATGCCATCATCTGTCCCACTGATGGAGCGGAAGCTTGTCAGAAAGCCAAGAACAAAACCAACCTTTTTTTTTTTTTCCCCAAGCAAATTCATCATTCTGATGCTCGGTCCTGACTGGGAGAAGTACTGAGGTTGTGTGCCTTGCTCAAGGGCCTAATAATATTGAGTTAGCTTTCCCCAGGTGACACAGCAAAGTTTTAACAGCTCACTTTTCCACCTTGAAAACTGAACGTGCTGAAAGTCTCTCTCCCTTTCCCGGAAAGGGAAAGGGAGAACAAGTGACCTCGAGGCTGCCATGTTATTAATGTCTTTAAATAACTGTGAAACGATTCAGTGTTATTGTTCAGGGATGTAGCAGTGGTGTCATGTAACCTGTGGCTTTGTCTCGCTTGTGATCGATAGGGTCTAGATCTCGACACATCACAAGTTTAGATGATATCTGTGTAATTAAAATAAGAGCGGTAATTAGACACCGAGCAATAATTTAACCTGATTAACATGTCAGTCCACTTGCCTGGATGGTTCAAATGAATTTTATCTCTGTTCAAATGAGCTCATGAAAAGAGTTTTAACCGTGTTTCAAGATCTCTGTCCGCGCTATCTTCCCTTGCAATCAGCTACTTCAGCATTCAGTATCACAGACAGTCCTGGTCTGAAGGGACATGGGTTCCTGACTTGCATATCAGGGTGGCCGTTGAATGAATGCACGCACAGCTGCAGTGCTGGCCTTCTTGAAAGGTGACTTTGCACGCTCTTTTCTTTCATTATTTTGTTGTGTTAGTATAATATTTTGCAAAACAGGATATGTCTATGTAAAAATGTGCAAGAACCTGTAGCTTGTTATCTTTTGAATCCATCTATTCTCCTGAAAATCTCAGCCTAGTATACTGGACCACTTTTGTTTTTGTCTTAATATTCCACCAAGTGAAAGAGACACTACCTGACAGATCTGAGAAAACCACTTTCTCTGAGTCTTTTCCATCTTTGAATTTAGGATTTTCTTTCTTCATTAAAGAGCTGCTGTCTTGTTATCTCTGAGTGAATGGAGCTAAGATACATGGTCCACTGAGGCCCAGACAATTATGCAGAAAAGAAGCAGCTCTCCAATAAAATTAGCCGAGCTGTTTCCTCGTGTAAGGAGACAAAAACAGAAACACATACGTCGGATAAACAAGTTTAAAAGGGAGTGACACTGGGGTCCCGCATTTGTTTCGGTTCTGTATCACAATCACTGCTGAGAACAACAGTGGTGTGTGATTAAAAACACATTTGTTTACATGGTCCCTGATGCAACCTTCCCACCACCTTCACAACCACCAAACACTCAAGGGCTGCACCTACCCAACACCTCCCCTCCCCCTCCCCTTAGTAATAACGCTCTCACTTCTTTTGCATCCTTCACTCACACTTGCCCTCCTTTCTTTCAGTGCACTCTTTGATTTTGAATGTGCTGATTTCCAATCCTTTTATCCCTCCCCTTGCAATCAGCAACCCTTTTTTATTTCAATCACCTCCTCTGTGCAGTCAGAGGCTGAGCGACAGCTTTGAACACGGTGTGGACTGTAGTCTATAGCTGCCCACTGCTCTGCTCTTTAAATTGTAACTCCCCGCTTCTCTGTGGTTAGAAAATGATTAGTGCCGCAGATAGTCATGAGCTAATGAAAGGCTTTGTTGACTTGAAAATTACCATGGGATGTAGACATATGCACACTCAATAATAGCAATAGCTTTCTTCAGGGGTGACTAACCTGTCAGTTCATGGATTTCACTTTGCATAGCCTGTATTTTCCAGGATTTTTAAATACACACATGATGCAAATGCAACATATTTATTTCCATTCAGCTTCATAATTCAATTAAAATTCATATATCCAAACAGAGCATAAACTTTCATGTGAAAGATGCTGTAAAGTCTCCCATAGGTGTTGCTGCTGATATTGCCTTTTGCCTGTATCCTCAAACATCAACACAAACACATTATACCACAGCTGCCTCATACTGAAAGAATTAACTGCAGTGAAATGCAAGAGACTCCTGGCAGTCGAGCCTTTTCATGGGGGCCATTAATGTTGTAATCATCTTTGTGAGAGGCCCCAGAAAGGACAAAATTAGCAGGAATCTCAGTGTGTGTTCAGCTGCAGTGTGAATCCATATAAAGCCTTAAAGGACATCAAGTCCCACCCAGAGGGTGTGTGCGCGCTACCATTGCAGACAATCAAAAAGACACAAACACACAGCTGACAATACAAGGAGAACATTCACCAAAAATGGAGCGGAATTAATGATGCTATATGTAAGTTTTTGTTATTGCTACATAGCCAGCTGTCTCCAGTGGTGGAAAGCAATCTCTTGTTTTACTTCTATTTCACTCACTTATTTTCTTCTACTGAAATTAGCATGCTAACTAGCTAGCTCACTTTCCAATACCGCGTCAGTTCAGTGTCCAGTCAGACCTGAAGAAGTAGCGCTGCTACGGTGCTTATAACCTCCTGTAAATGCAACAATGGCTGAAGCTCTTAGCCAAACTGTTAGGTTAACAGCTGTGGATGCAAACGCCTGCTAATGTAGCAATAGCAAAACTTACAAATAGCTTCTTTAATATTAATAGGAATGCTGGGTTAAATAGGCGGTGGTATTATTTCAACTATTATTTTGTTTTCTACCCAACTCACCTGTATTGTGACAATTCGTGGTAGCGGCTGGCGAGTGTTGGCTCCACCTTCAATGGCAATACCCAGGGTGCTGGCACTCTTTGCCACCCTCACTAGTGTAGAGGTGGGCTCCAACAGCCCTGGCTACAGTAAGGGATAGGACAAGTTATAATGTAAGAACATTATTAATCTGTATTCATAAACCAAATATAACATCACACAGCCTCCCTTTGCCGGCCTCTGTCTTTGTGCCCCCCTATGCATACACACTTCTTTCTGCCTTTGTTTATCCATGTAAGAGCTTTATTGTCTCTTGAGAGTTTTCTCAGTGGATTTACACATTAACAAAGGCCATGCCTCTTTATTAACATGTACATATTCAATGCTGGTGGTATATTCATGAATAATGAGCAATCTTGGTAAACAGCTTCACAAGTCAGAGGACAAAAGAAATAACTGTTGTTTTTAAATCCTTTTACTCATTTTTAACAAGGCATGTATGTCATTTTTGCCATTGTTGAATCACCTGTATTAATTTATTTAATTTATTATTTATTTCAACTCTTGTAAAGCTTCTGTTCCACTAGCTTCTGTAACACAGTGGGGGTTTTCTCATCTGTATGTTCGTCCTTACTCTAAGATAAATGCCTATGGTTGTCTAGTGGTTAAGATGCAAACCATATAACTGCAGCATGCTCAGTTCGATTGCAGCTGGGGACATTTCATTGTTGAATGCCATACCCCTCTCTCTGTCCTCTTTGTTTTCTGTCACTATTTATCCATTAGCTATTCGCTAACCTTGTCTTGTCTGTCATTTGGAGCTGGCAGATCGTGCACATAGGGTTTACGTGAGTGTGTTTGCTGAAAACGGTTGCTTTCAGCTCTAACTACAGCCTGTTATGTTAATTCTTCTTACTCTGCGAATATGTTGCTATTAGTGACTCTTTTAACATTAGAGTCATATTATTCATAGTGATTTAGACTAACTAGAGAAGCTTCGGTTAAGATAAATTGCTGATTATTTTGTCAACATTAAGTAACAACACATCCATAAACCACTGACACTCAGCTAAAGCCTCATGTCAGCTGTAGTTATTGAATCCTAGCAAATAAGTTGTTCCAATAGACGTCTATTTAGCTCAGCTTTTCAGGAAAGATGATGAGAAAACACAACTCAACTACTTGAAGCTAGATGGCAGAGGAGGTGAACTTTATATAAACACAGATGTTAGCCATCTCACCTTCACCTTAGCCTTTGTATCAAACATGATATTAAGTGATATTTTCTTTCATGACTCTGGGCCATATTTACATAGCCTACATTTCTGCACCTGCCACCCTGCTGTGTATTTTTACTGGCGTGAGAATGAGGAGGTTATATTAAGGCTTAAACAAATGTTCTCTCTTTGATGAGCACATCATTTCACTCTTTTCAGCAGCTTCTTGCTTGACACTCCAAAACAAACAGAAGGTAAATGCTTTGCTCCTTAGCAATGAAATGTAGCGCTTTGCGACACAAAGTCCACTCAGCCATCACTTTTCCCACCTACAGTAATTCTGATCTAACACAGACATTGAACTTAACAGCCTTTTCATCATAAACAATCTGGCTACTCCCAACCTCACTCGTTACTTTTCCCATCAATCAATAAGAACCAGAGAGCGATTTGAAAGTTTCATTAAGCGTCACTGCAGTGAGTGATGAAATAAATGATGGACCATGTGACTGAATGAATGACATGAGTGATAAATAAAGAAATGAGTGGAAGAAAGGAAACAAGTGTGTTTGAGCAAACGGAGGGAGGAGAGAAGAGATCACGGTTAGGATTGATTCAGGCAGATTCTGGAGGAGGATCAGCAATAACGCACATTGATTTATTAAACCTGTAAGTAACTCATGGTTTATTTTCAGCTCACTTACACACACGCATTTGTACAGCTGTCTTTGTGGGGACCCATCACTGACATAATGCATTCCCAAGCTCCTCACCCTAACCTTAACCATCACAACTAAATGCCTATCCTCAACCCTTATCCGCACCCTAAAACCAATGCTGTGTCTCAATTTGCATCTTTCCATACCAACACTTGCTATTTTGAGTGCAGAAGTGAGTTATATTGTCAAGTATGGCAACATGCAATGCACTGTAAGTACCTGTATGGTGCACTCAAAACCGTCAACCCTCACCTCCAACAGTCGCCATCTTGGCTACATAGCAGAAGCAGGGGGGTGATTAGGGGCCTAATTTCCATGTCAGATGACACAGGGGGCACATACAGGAAAATGCAATGTTCATTTTCAAGTCAAGTGAGCGACGCAGCCTGCAGGTGGGCAACAATCGCGGTCACCTGTTCTGATCATCATTTCTGGTGAGTGCACAATGGGAGTGTTTGATTTGGGGCAACACTACCCTGTTGAAACTCACATGCCAGTGAGTATACTGTGTACACACTGTACTACATGTGAATGTATTGACTGAAGTATCCGATTTGAGACACAGCACAAGTCTGAACCCTCAAACAGCCCTTTAAACCTGTGGACCAGACCCCACGCATATAGTAAAACAAGTACTCACACACACATACACACACACACACGTGTTCATACTTCTACACTTGTGAGGACAGTGATATATTAATGCATTGCCTACCCCCTAACTCCAACTTGAATTTTAACTTTAATTCTACTTTTAACATTCAAACCAGGTCCGAACCCTCAGAGAGAAAGAAGTAAGGATCAGACACGATATTATCACTTTTCAAAAATGTCTTTACTTTCCAAAATGTCCTCATTCTCAAAAATGATCTCACTTTTCAAGAATCTCATTTTCCAGAAAGGTCTTCAATTACCAAAAACGTTCCCTCATTTTTAAATGCCCTAAATTTCCAAAAAGGTCTTAGATTTCTAAAAGTGTCTAAAAATCTCTCCATTTTCAGAGCTGTCTCACTTTCTATAATCTGACCCTTAAGGTCTGAAACTCTAATTAGTCCCCACAAAAACAGAGATACACACACAGACACCCAGGTCACCTGGACACTTCTCTCATTCCCCACAATTCATCCACTCATCCATCACAACTGTTCTGATACACCCCCTCACCGGTTTGGAGGGGTTGTCCCCCCCGCCTCCCTGGGTGTCTCGGGGGAGGCGTGTGCGTGAGGAATGGGGGCTGCTGTCTTTGCTGATGTGTCCTGACTCAGCTATGTCCACACCACTGTCCTCACTGAGGGTCTGGCCGCTGTCTGACAGCTGAGACAGGGCACCACCTGAGGGGGAGCAGGCAGACATGATGTCAGGGACTCTCACACACATTATACTGTGTCGCCTCTAAATCTTATTGTGTGGAAGCAATCCTACACTTTTATTTTCATTGGTTTAAGCCTGTCTCAAGCAGAGTTTTATAAAAAATATGATTTTAAGATTTAATACAGGATTAAAACCTTATTAAGATTAGTGCATTCAGTGGCATCATGCACAATGTTCTGGATAATTGCTCATTTAAGCACATTACATCCAAGTAAATACACATTTGAGAGAGATTATACATAATGTATTTATACCCATCTTCTTCATTATCGAAACTGCATATTTCCTCATTTTGAGCAGGGAGTGAAAATCAGCATATGACTGGTATCAGAAAATGAATCCCAACTGTAGCGTTTAATCTCAGTGTTTCATTATCAAGAGAGAAACACTACAAATGTTTCTAAAAAGAAAGGTTGAAAACATGAACACGTTCCCACAGCACAGTCAGTCTGTGATGCTCCAGTGCTCTGACTGATAAAAAGTAAGTGTGCCATTATTTGTGGAGCTGGTTGTCTACAAATATAACTCTGCACCAAACTGATGAGTGAAGAGGTTCTTGCAATATCAATTCTGATAGCAAATTTACTGATGCAAGAAAATTGTATCCGGGCAAAACAGTCTTATAAAGCACGGAAGGTATCAGGCAACATTTTTGGAAATGTTTGCACAGCAATTAGTAATTCATAGAGTTGATAATTAGTTTGGCTCTTTTTCTCTTAAGGTCTGAAGCAGTTTGAAGATGTCAGCTTGGGCTCTGGGACATTGTGATTGCAGTTTTTTACTAAATGACTAATGAAGTTTTAAAAAAGTAATTTACACATTAATCAATAATGTAAAACAATTATTAGTTGCAATTATTTGACAAATCACATAAACTTTACTCTTGAAACATGTCGAGTTTGTACATTTAACCTCCTGTGTTCTATGTCCTCACCTCGAGCTTGCGGCAGCGGCCGCACTTCGTTGACATCGGGCTCTGCGTTGGGCCTGTGAACCTCCACTGTAACAAACTGCTGTTTAGAGCCAGGAGAGGAAGCGGGGGAGGCTTTGGACATGGACACTGGCTTAAGGGGTAGAGATGGGGGTGGATGAGGAGCAGGGAGTGGAGGTGGAGGTGGAGGTGGAGGTGAAGGGGACGGGGCAGCAGGTTTGGTGCCTCTGTTGGGGGACTGGACCCTGGGGAAAGGGCCGATGTTGTGTTGGGTGACCATGGACAACTGAGCAGCTGTGATTTGTTCTTTCTTGGATGGTACCGAAGGCTCTCTCTTTCTGATGGCCGCATAGTCCCGAGACGGGTCCCTGGGATGTTCTCGTTTGTGGTGCAGTGAGGGTGAGGCAGGGCTGTGTCCTGGCTCTTTACTTTGGTTGTGGGAGTTCGGGGCTGTGAAGTACAAGCCTGAGTGGGAGGATTCGGACGAGGGGCATTTGTTGAGCTGATCTCGTCTACTCGAGCGCCTCTGCACCCCCGGTGGGGGTGGAGGCTTGAAGGAGGGGGGGGATTCGGCGGTGGTGGACTGTACGTCATCCTGAAGTGAAAGGATATATTCATCATCATTGATTAGGGGTGTGATAATATACTGTAGCACAATATACTGCAATGGAGAATGTGACCATATGTATCATGGAGCTGAAATCTTCAGTTCTGACTTGGGAAAATGTGCAAATTTTTGTTTTAATATGTTAAATACCAGAGGGCGAAATTAAATTCACCCATTAACACTGTCAACAGAGGCTTCTACGACTGCCTCAACATGTTTATCTTAGCTTTAAGTCTTAAAAACATTCCGCCTTCACAAATTAGTTTCTGTAAATATGTTTAGATGAGCTTCAATTTAGAGAATGTTTCCCAGAGTTTTTTTGTGTATGGGCTTGTATGGCCTACTTCACTGTTGTATGTAAATAAGGATCTCCTGGCTCACTTACCTAGAGTCATATCTAGTTTTGTTTTTATTTGTCCAGGTTTTATTGGCAGGAATCCCTGAGATTTCTGCCAATACAATGGAGGTGAATGGAGTTTAATTTGTGGTAAGACTAATTATTCTTAAAATGTCAAACAAAATTTCATTGGAGGTTGATGACAAAATATGTTACATTTACTCCTTTGGCAGAAGCTTTTATCCAAAGCAACTTACAAGTGAGGGACATGTTTTTAGTCATTTGAATGAAATGCACCTTTTAGACTATCCATCTTCTGTTATTTGCATTTTTAACTAAATACTAGAAGAAGAAAAAACAGATTTTACATCTAAAGAGAAATAAATAATAATACTATATAATAATATTTAATATAATAATTTTACAGTCACAGCTTGTGTTTAAATTCAAACTTTGTTACAAATATCAAGAGTGTATCGAACATGAACTCCACAAAGGATTTTTACATCTCTATTATGCAGAGGGAATACAGTTAAAGCCAGAGTTTAAACCCAGTTATCATATTAATTTCTTCATACTTCTCAGCAGTTTTTCACTCACACAGCTGCATTAGACACATGTTTAACCACTGCACCAGGTTCAGTGACAGTTGACCTGAAGACACTGACAACATCCAAACCAGGCCCAACACGTCGCTGCTCGTTGGTGTGATTCCGCTGGTGTCCTGCTTTTCTGGGTAACAAAGCTCAAACTCAAACTGACGGTGAAATGAACAACACTGAGACGTGGATGGCTTGCCCGTGTATGGAGTGAGACATAAAATGAGCAAAAAAGAAAGTGTACGAAAGAAAAGTGAGTTATGATTCGGTTGACAGGTAGCCTTGGAATACAGCAGACTAAAAGCTTCCTCCTTGACCTTCTGCTGCGGTTCAGATAAACAAATGAGACCTCTCGATTTGTTGCTTTTGAAACTGAGGTCGCCGTGCAGTCGGTTTTTTGTAAACTATGGTGCAACAGTAAGCTCTTCCTTCTTGCAGAGATGAAGAGGCAGGAAGAGAACTGGACAGGCCAGGTGGAGTATAGTGATCAGTCTCCCCTCATCACTTTGCACACAACAGAGAAAAGATGAGGAAAGGCTACACCGGCACTTAATCTCAAAAAGCTCTGTTTTTCTTTCTTTATTCGGTGCAAACACTTGTTTCACTCCACCTCAGTCTACAATACAAAGCCTGCGGGTCAGCCATGTCTCAAGTACCTCCATCCGCCCCTATCTCATCTCCCCTCCTATTTTTTTTTCATCATTTTCATCCCACCCCTCCTCACTTCTCCCCTGTGCCGTATCCATCTTTATCAGGCCAGAGCAGGGGCCTGCCAGGCTCACCAGAGAGATGTCGGTCAGCAGCGTGTTCAGACTCTCCGGAGGATCCTCCTCATTACTCTCCACCACGCTGTTGTTCTGAGAGACACAGGAAAGAAATAGAGGAAAAGTCGAAAGCCAGAGGTGAGAGAGAAGGAGGGGGGATGGATGAAAGACAGCAAAGAAACAGAAACAGAAACAGAAACACAGAGAGGGGGGAGGAAGGAGAGAGTGATTAAAGTGAGAGGGAGAAAGCTAGTGAGCAGATGCTAAACACAGATGTGTGTTTATCCCGAAAACAAATGCCAAATTAGATTTGGTGGATGTTCCACATCTCCCAGAAAAGAGGAAAGACGTCAATATCTGTTCGCATTTGCTTGCCAGTCTCAAAGTCTATAAGGAAGGCAAGCAAATAAGTCATGCACACGCACACACACGCTCACATAGACACAGCTATCATGTCGTCTTCCACAAGCAAAACACACATGCTGTGAAATCGATAAAGAACCATCAGCTCAGTTCAAAGCAGGATTTGGCAGCTCAATCCCACCGGTGTGGTGGAGAGGGGGTAATTTGTGGCAGATCTGTGAGGGATTTCAGAGCGGGGGAGCTGAGTTCAGAGAAACATTGCCCTTCATTTAACTCTGCCATTAAAGCAGAACAAAAGCCCCATCAATTCAGCTTAATTACCCCTCGTTGCTGCACGGGGAGCACTTACAGACAATTTATTTATCACAAGAGTCTATCAACTTTTTACATGCAGAGATGCTGCTCTGCACTGTAACCAGTGAGAGCACGCTGTGTTTGTGTGTATGTATGACCGTGTCCAACCACAATTATCATCAACAGCGCGCGCGCGTGTGTGTATCTGGATGCATGTGTGTCGCACTCTACCCAGGAGTAATGTTAGACAATTTTGCATAACATGGTTCACATCCAATGGCATCATTCAGCATGAAGGAAGTAGTGTCATCTTTATGTAGTGTGGTGGTTTGTTCATGTTGAAGACCACTGACTCTGTTGATGGCACTCATGAGGCAGACTGTCAGAATGTTGGTCCCCTCTCTTGCCTGGTTTGACAATGTGTACGACATGCTCTGTGACACCGTCAGCAGTCCTGATCCTGGAGTTCTGGCCCTATCGGCCCTGCTGACAGACTGCAAGCTATAATGGGTTCAACATGTAGTCTGACATGTCTCTCGGCTAAGTCACAGCAAGAGGGTGAAGCACCATGATCACCTCAACTGGCACAGTGACGAACTTTAAAGACAACCGTGCAGCGTAGGGTGAACACAGCTAGGCTGGAACTGGGCTGAATTTGCAGCTCTAATTCATTTTCTATGCGAATGACTAAAGAGGATTACAGGATAATACAGGCTTGTTAATTATTGCTAAAATAAAACAGACCCTAAACTACAACAACAGTGAAGGCAAATTACAGACTTACAGCAGATTACAAACACTATTGATCACAGACGCCTCATTGTGGAAGTTGTTTGTGGCCCTGGCAGTCTTGCAGTGTTTGCTCTGGGCAGGACCGCATTCAGACCTAAAATAGGACTGTGTTAAATAAGACCTAGTATAACCCTTGTATATGGCTGGAACCAATGTCAACAACTACTTCCAATGGAAAGCAGCTAAAGTCTGCTCGAAAAGTCGCTAAATGTCAATAGATTACAAAATATGCTAATCAGCGTATCATTGATGTCATCATGTCGTATTTGCATTCGTTTATGCTTCTCTCCTACTCTCTGTGCTTGGAAAAACTGTATGTTAATGCTTCTGAATTCCCAATGAAGCTGTTCTCATTTACATGTTTTTCTGTTTCTGTTGTCATGTTTCGGTCACTATTGTCGGACAACAATTTGCTGTCCGACAATAGTGACTGAAACGCGGCCCATTAAGACTAGGCTAAATATAAATCAGCTGTCACTTCCGAACCATTTCCAAGCTGCTGCTTTGCACTGAAAGTCTGACCCCGGACTCACAGGGCAATTCCGGTGACTCTTTTCTACATAAAGTAGCTAAAGCTTTTGTAAAAAGTCGGTCGATGAAAAGTCAGTAAATCTAACGACAAAGGAGCTAGGTTAGCATCACTGCCTGCAATGTAATGAAATCAACGAAAATGAAATGTAGTGTTTGTGTCAATTCATTTTGAAAGAGCAATGGCCGACCAGTGCTGTAATGACTCAGTCAAGGATATTTGCTTTTCTAAGGCCGGTCCAGCCAAAAAACACAAGGTGCTGCACTGGTATTGGCATGCGGCTACAGTAAATGATGACAAGATGAAATATGATCCAGGAAGTAAAGTTTACTACATTCACGCTTCAATGTATTCTCTCTGTAATGCATGCTAATCTGTGCTTGGATGTATTTAATCTAATTTGGTCTGTCCGAACACAGCCTGCGACTCCAGAGCCTTGTGTTCACAGCCTGTTTCAGACCAGTCCTTAATGTTGGCTGTTTTTTTTAGGCTTTTAAAAGCAGCTTAAGTTGCCTAAACTTAACCATGTGTAAGCATTACTATAGTTTACATCCACAGATATTAGAGGGAATAATCTAAAGAATTGACGCACTGAATTTAAAAAATAAACAATCTGATGTTTTGCAGAATCATGCAAAAGCAACATTGTGTTTGGCCAGGGGGTTGGTATTCTTCAAACAGCAACTGTGTTTACGTGTCTATCTTCATAATGTGTGCGTGTTTGTGTGTGTGTGTGTGTGTACGTGCATTGGTATGCAGTCGACTGTATACCTGGCTTTCAGTGCGGTTCGGAAATTCAGTATTTTTATCCTCCCAAACCCACCCAGCTCTCTAATCTGCTTTACACAGCAGCGGTAGCAGTCACCCATGGGTCCAAAACAGCACAAATATACACAAATAGGTACACATAAACACACGGGAAGAATACAGACCAACACACACACACACTCTCACACATGTAAATGTCGCCTCTCGAAGGGGAAAGCAGAAAGGCAGGCAAAACCCATCTGAGGCATCTGAATGAGAATGACTGATGCAAAAATCTGCAGTCTACAGCTTATCTCCATTGCCAGCTTAGACACCGAGTGTACACCTGTGTGTGTGTGTGTGTGTGTGTGTGTGTGTGTGTGTGTGTGTGTGTGTGTGTGTGTGTGTGTGTGTGTTCATGTAAGAAATCAGACACTTGCATGCGAACATACTAACACATTTGTGTTTGAGTTGCTGGACTATAGTAGTGATCACAAACAGCCTGGTTGCTCATTTCATTGTACACTTATGTTAAATACAAAAGATGTATACAGAGTTTTTGAAGTTGTTTAAAGGTACAGTACCTTTGATGGAGCTGGGCTGGGTAACCAAAGTAAAGTAACAAGTAATGTTACTGATAACTTTTCCTATTGAGTCATTTTATGTAAGTACTTTTTTAATGAATAGTTTGTAATGTCTCAGTTTGCACATGAAGAAAACTTAACTGAGATGCAGAGACCTACGAGCTGCTAAAGGGTCTGGCTTGACTCAGAACTGGCTTTTCTTCTCCATGTGTAAGTAACTTGGAAGCCACATAATGTTACATGTCTGTTTTCATTAGTGGCCGGCTATGATAACGTCAGCTAACTTGCCGTTACTGAGATTATCCATTAGCTATACCACTTATCCTTTTAGAGTCATGGGGCGGCTGGAGCCATTTCCAGCTGACACTGGGCGAGGGCGGGGTACACCCTGGATAGGTCACCAGTCTATCACAGGGCTGATATACACTCAGGCACGTGGAGAACATGCAAACACAGAAAGGCTGCAACCCGCCGGCAGGTTTTAACCCAGAACCTTCTTGCTGTGAAGCAACAGTGCTAACCACTGCACCACCCTGCCACCCATGAAGAAACCTTTAAAAATCTTATCTTGGGATAGGAACACACACTGAATCATGTATTTCAAGTAAATAGCTTAAAACATTTTAACAGAAATATTATGTTTATAATATTTTAATAATTTTCACTGAAAACTAGATTTTTCCAAATTAGCAAAGAGAAGGATAAACCAAATGTAACCTTCTCTTGTGATGAGCACAGCTCAGAAAATGCTTCTGTAATTAGGAGCTGTTTTTTTTTGTGATCTCTTCTCTCTGGAAGTGTGACCTCATCCTCACAAAAACAGCCAGATCTGTAGACGGGGATGAGGAGGAGAGCCACAGTCCTCACACTCACAACATGAAGTGTCAGGAGTCTTAACTCTTAACACCTCAGACTGTGGAGTGACACACTCTCTTTAAAAGCACTACAGTTCCTTTCCAAATCCAGGCTGAGAAGGCAATAATAAAAAAAAAAGAAAAACACTCCAAGCAAACTCACAGCAAAAACCACAAACCAAGGATTGAGTTGAAGTGTGTGTGTATGTGTGTCAGCTGCCCACAGTTAACTTAACGTCTCTTTGCTCTAGTGTGTATCCCGCATGTGTGGCTTTGTGTTGGAAAGCTTCATCTCTTTCAGCAGTGATTCCTACCTCCATCATATCTATCAGCCAGAGCAGTCTTTCCTACAAAGGGGGAGAGCGGGGAGGATTTTGGGCGTGAGGTGGAAGACAAATACAACCTATCAAATCTCAGAAGAGAGACTTTTCAATCTCAGCAGCAAGGCAGTGAAAGGTGTCATTGTTCAGCCCAACAAAGTCCACACCAAAGCAAAAATATCTTTTCTAAAGCAGAATCTGTTATAAACCATGGAAATACATCACACTGCTTTCCCCCCCCCCTGTCTCTCTCTCTCACACACACACAGCCAAGGAAAGGAAGTGAGAGCAGACAGCCAAACAGAAGTAGCCAATCAAAATCCAAATACACAGACTGTGAGGGAGACCAGAAAACAGCAGCACTCTGGCCCATACGTCATCATTTAACTGCTGCTGCTTCTTCAAACATGTAAGAAAAACCTCAAATGATTGCAGCAGTAGAATATACATTTTAAGCAGAGGGAAGTGAAGAGAGATGATGTTTCCACCCAAAAATATTAAGTAAACTAAAAAAAATCTAACTCAAAGGTACACACTGTGAGATAGAGGCAACAAGATCTAGATAATTACTCCACCAGTGCACCCAGCCTACCCGCGCAGAGCTGAGGGTGGTGTTGGTCATGAAGCTGGCTGAGGACGAGGTCAGGGTATCAGGGTACGACACCATAGACAGGGCATCTGGCTGCAGGGCTGTGGCTCCAGCTGTGCCCTGCCGCGCCTTCAGAGCCTGAATCTCACGTCGCAGTACCATCCCGTCAAAACACTCCAGGTCCTGCGGCGTGACCAGGCCTCGTACCTCTGACAGGAGAGAAAACTGAGGAGAGGGAGGTACAGAGGGGGAGAAACAAAAGGGGAGGCATGGGTATGATGCAACAGACATGGGTGGGTTTCACCAATTAAGATGAACATTAAACAAAGGATTGAGTACCGGTTTATCTTTCAAGTCTGCTGCACCAAAACTTTAAACCATTCTAAACTGAATAGGTTTTTAAGCTTTTGTTTAAAGGTCCCATATAGTCTAAAGGTAGATGTCCATGTGTTCTTTGAATATAAATCAGGCCTAGGTTCTATATTATGAAAGTATCAAAGCGCTCAGTCCACAGAGAAATGCACACAGCTTGTATTCAGAAACTGAGCCTTAAAACCAGCCATCAGGACTTCTGTAACTTTGTGATGTAACAACAAAGCAATCATCGCTCTCAGCCATGCCCCAAGCTTGGCCCAACATCCGCCCTTGCAGTATTTGGTTTCCCTGAGTGTTTACCTAAAATCTACTATATTTTTATTTTTCACCTCCAGAAAAGAGTCAGCTAATCAAAGTTGATCAATATGGATCAAGACTTCAAATAAAACACAGGAAAAATGTAAAATATGGACATTGGATTAAAATCAGGGTCAAAACTCCTGCTACACTTGCAGTAAACAGAAGAACTTTATTATTAGACAGACACGTTTCAGCTTGTGGCCTTCATCAGGGTCATCTAACTGTAACACTGGTATAAAGAAATTCAAATCCACCAACTAAAATTAAATGATCATTTGAATGATCAAACTTATTTAACATGAGCTACTACTGTACAATTCAAAAAACTTGATAATGAAAAACAACCAATCAGGTAAGACAGTTGCACAGTGGTTCTAAATGCAGCACAAGGCAGCTACAAATGCTCTCTGTGGGAGTATGATACAGCAGTGTACATGAGAAATTGGAAATAAAATGCCTTTGATTTATTGTGTCTTTTTATAAGGTGAACAACTGCAGACTGTGAGAAAAACAAAAGACTTTTAAGAGCCGGGGAGGAAGGAAAACAGAACAGTAAGCATCGACGAAAAGCCTGGGAATAAATCTCAGAAGGTCTCAGAAAACTTCAATTCAAACCTCACAGCAATCACACACACAAACTGTTCCGGAGAACAGATCCCCGCACAAAGAACATTGATTCTCTTTTGATATTTTTCCTTCTTTTCTCAGACTCGACAAAAGCCTCCTGGACATTTACCTTTGCGTGAGTGTTGAGCAGCTCGAACAACGCCATGACCAGCTGCTCCACGCCGATGTGGCCGTCCCGGTACTCCTCCACGTAGTAGCTCATGGTCTGCCGCTCCACCTCGGTCAGCAGGTGGCGCGCCTGCTCGTCAAGCATGGCCCGGGACTGGTTCACCAGGCTGGACAGAGTCACCTGTGAGCCTGCCACACCCTTATAAAACCCAGGCTGATGTGGATGGAGGAGAGGAAAGAAAAAGACAAGAGATGGACACATTTAGGACTTATTGCTTTTTAACATTCATTTATATTTCTTATTTATTACACTTTCTTGGCAGGTAAAGTGGAATAAAGTTGAAAGAGGACAGGTCAGGGAGAGGAGCAGTGGCGGCAGTAAAATGGGATTAGATAATATTTTAGCCAAGGATAAGGAAGGGACGAAAGAAGAGGAGGCCGAGGGTGGAAAGGAGGAATGAAAAATGAGAAAAGAATGAGGACAGTAAAGAAAAGGAAAAAGAGAAAAATATTGATTGTGGAGTCAGAGGGTGGATTAAATGAGATGGTAGAAAAAGAAGAGGAAAGATGTGAGGGAACAGGAGAAGGCAAGAAGAGGCAGAGAAGTGAAACTGGGAGAGGAAGCGGAAGATGGAAATGAGCTGGATGGAAGAGGTGGAGAGAAACTACAAGGAGTAAGGAGGCTGATGAAGGAGGAGGAGAGCAGAAGAATATAAGGAGGAAGAAGTGATGGATAGGGAGGAGAGAGGGGACACGGCGGGAGATAACTGCAAAGACCGAGGAGAGGAGCAGCAGGGTGAGGAGACAAAGGAAACTGATCAGGGTGGACAGGAAAAGAACATAAATTACACCCACAGACACTGAACTAACCATCAGTCTTTTTATCCCAGATGTATAAATTATCATCCTGTCTTCCTGCTGTCCCACCATCACCCATCATCATTCACGCTTTGCGATGCGAACACCACAGACGCAGCAGCAGGACAGAAACTGTGCTGTTCACACTTCTTTTCTTTTTTTTTTCTTTTACAGCTTTCATATCCACTTCCTGTTTGCCAGCTGGCTGCTCTGTCAATCAGAAAGACGACACTCTGACACTTCAGAAACTGATGAGCTGTCGATATCACTTCTTCACTCCATATCTGCTCCTTTTTTTCTTTTTCTCTTTGCCTGTCCCTTTTCTTTTATTTTCTCAGTTATCTGCTCGCTACCATGCAGCTTTTCTTTAATTAACTCCTTAATCAAAGACACCACTTCAAAGTCACAGCTCCGGGGTCTGTGTCTGCCTGCGTTTGTATGAGACGGAAGCAGGAGGAAGAAACAGGCCCAGCAACGACTTCCCCTCCTCCGCCTCCACTCTTTGCCTTCACCTCATCCTCAACTCTTGCCCGCACTCGTCCGTCTGTATTATCAGCAGCAGTTGTTCTAGTGTCCCTGCCTGAGCAGAGCCAACAACTGTTTAATGCCCAAGGTGAACTTTGGTGTTACCCAGCCTGAATCTTAATCACCGCAGTGCTTACCACGAGATTTTCTCCAAAGCATTTGTGTCTCGGTTACTTAAGTCAAGGGCGTCATGGAGTGAACGGACAGGACCACACGAGGCATGCGAGCAGTCGCTCCGTCTCTCGCTGTCGTATTAGAGGGCAGATTGGCACTTGAAGGAGCTAATGAAATCGGTCGTCACTCAACTGGAGTGGAACACCTGCAGTCTCCTGTTAATGAGGTCTGCTCGTGAAGGCGATACACGAGGACGGAGGGAGGACGCTTTTACTGTAAGACCACCATTTTACAGTTAATGGACATCCCGTAACGCCGGTCCATTTGTTCGTCCATCAAACAGATAAGCTGTTTCGCCCTTTAATCGCAGCGACGAACTACAACAACAACTACAACCACCATTGACATCCAGTTGATAAAGAGCAAATCAGATAAGGTCAGATCAAAAAGCTGCTGCATTAAGACCTGGAAATGTCACAAGCTTTATCTCTGCCATAGCTTGACTCAATTTAACAAAAAAGGTAAGAGATAAAGAGATAAAGTTAAGAAAAAAAGGCATTTTCCCAAAAGATATGAGACTGTTTTTTCTTGAATTACTCTTCCATTACTCTCCATATTTAGTCCTGGAACACAAAAACCTCTCGTGCCCTGCATGCCCCTGCCCTAAAGTTCACACTGTACAGCACACTGAGCCTCCTCTGCACCTCGCTTATCTGTAAACATAGCTCTGAATAACTCATCCAACGGCTTTTTGCAAAGGCTCCATGAATGACAACTAGCAATCATCTGGCTGAGCTGTACATGGTCGTCAAAACCTTTACGTTTATGATATTTCACTATTATGTGAGTTTTGTGTTTGTTTTTTTTTATTTCTTTTGTTCAGTTTTTTGGTAGGTTAGACAAATGAATACAAATTTCCAAAGATACTCTGAATCATATACATTCTATACATTATGATGTATATACACCTACATATGTAAATGTATGTGATTACACCTGTTTGTGTGGCAGTGTCTAATGCACCTGGACACTGCAGCACGCTCATCAGTGCCTTCTGGTGACACCTGGGCCCACGGCGTTCACCAGCCTATAAATCTAGGTCCTGTTACTCTCCCTCTCGCTCTCTGCAGGCACCCTGTTGGTGATGTGGTAGCCTTTTTGTTATTCCTTGTCTACTTTAGGTATTCTGCAACACACACACACACACACACACACACACACACACACACACACACACACACACACAATCTCGCACTGATCTTAATGACATTCACACCCCATGTTTTGTAAATTATTTGTTACAGTATATCCTCTGCTCAAATAGACCAGATCTGTTGAGCTTTCAGTAGAACACACACACACGCACGCACGCACGCACGCACACTCACACCCACCCCCCATTCTTCCATTTTTAATTGAAAGTGAAAGTGGACCACCACAACCCACGGGAACAGCTTCAATCCTCCTTGGCATTGATTCTACAAGTCTATGAACTCATTTGGTGTTTTTGATGATGGTGGCGGAAAGCGCTGTCTAACACGTCAGTCCAAAATCTGTGTTGTGCTGGGCTGAGATGTGGTGACTGTAAAGGTCACGGCATATGATTCACATCATTTTCATACTCATCAAACCATTCAGTGACCCTTGTGCCCTATGGGTGGAGGCACTGTCCTCCTGGAAGAGACCACTCCCATCAGGATAGAAATGTTTCATCATATGATAAAGGTGATCACTCAGAACAACTTTGTATTGATTTGCAGTGCCCCTTCCTCCGGTTCCCTTCACTGCAGGGGTCAAGCATCAAGCCTGTATCATTCTGACTCATCTGACCATATCACTTTGTTGCTCATCTCTGTAGACCACTGCCTGCGGTTTTTGCACCGCTGAACTCTCAAATGTGCATTCATCTTTGTAATGAGGGGTTTGTGCACTGCAAGCCCACTATACCTGTAGGGCTATAACTGCTGACACAGTCTGATCACGACCTGCATTGAAATGATCAGTCAGAAAGAGTCGCTCCTCTGTTTTTCCTACGTATCGCACTGATGCACGAGTATCGCTGTAGACCACAATATCCGAGCCTAGTTACTGATGTCTTTCCCATAGATCTAAATGCAGATGTCACTTTACTCACTGTTCCTATTGAAACAAAGCCAGTTAAGCATCTTTGTGACTGAAGCTCCTGCTGTCCACGTCCCAACAATGTCACCCAGCTCTTTTCCTCTTGCTTCTTGATACAAAATCAGAATCAACCTGGCTCGCTCAGCACTTTCATACATGCCACAGAGCATTATGGGATGTTAACTGATACCACTTTCCCATGTAGTGCACCTGTGTGGAAGCATCTGCATTAGTTATATTCATTCATTCAAATGTTTCCTTTAATTTGTACACACATGTACATATAAACAGTGGGGTCCATTCAATACACACACACATACGCGCACACACACACACACACACACACACACACACACACACTGAGTAAACATAGACCAAGAAAAGTCAGTTTCCAGCTTCATTATCAAATAGTAACAACAGTCTAAACTAGATTACTTGCTAAGTGACGTTTCGCCTGATTCCTCACATCCCTGCACCCGGTCTGTGTTTGTATTTTTCTCAGAGAGAGCTTAAGCCCTTTTCTCTGAAAATAAAAAACAGGATGTGGAAATTCAAGGGAAAGAACGCAGAGTTAAGATCGTCATATCAACACCATAAAATCGATTACACATGACTATGGCACAGATTGGGTCTAACCTCACAGGGCAGATCTTGGTATTAAAACCTACAGGAACAAGTCTACCTCTGCCATGTTGTGATTTTGCAATTGCAGAAACATCCAATAAATTCTTCTCAATTCCATCCCTGGTTACTCACAGAACTGTAAGGTCTATATGTAAACTTTATGAGGGTCTCTGCACAGCCAGAAAGATATAACAATAGACATATTTACTACATCACTGGCACTGTGCACAATGAAGCTGGCAGATACCTAAGATTCCCAGGGTGACTGTCTTCTGATTTAATCACATTATGAGACATAATGCCGCCATCAGATGGAGAAATAAGAGTCCATCTCTAATGACAATAACCATAAAAGGAATATGTTCAAGCCATTGAGTCAGATCTCATCCGTTGCTCAATGACAAGGTTCAAACCAGCTCCGATCTCATTCCGCACATTTCGCCAACGCGTGAAATCCACCCTGCTCTGATCACAATTTATGACTGCTAATTGGCTTTTCTTTTGTCTTTTGCTTAGAGCAGCCACATCTGCTAAACTCTTCAATACGCCAGAAAATAAATTAGTAGCAACCGATTGAATATCTGTGACTTTATCAGGATTTGGTGTTGTGATGTTGAAATTACTGGACGTTCTTTGAAGACTGGCTGATGTACAGGAAATACATTACCTTCTGGTGTCACAAGACATTTATTATTCAATTGACTGATAAATATAAATGGAAATCATTTGTATACAATTAAAATGAGTATTAACAGATGTTATCTTTCATTTACATTCAAGTAGTTTCGTGCAATTCATGTGTAATGAGTCAAATTATTCATTTAAAGATAGTTCTAAACTGTCCTGATTTTGTTGAAGAATACAGGTGCAGAATGCACAAGTACCACACAGTGGATGCAGTTTATTATAGGTAAGACAAGTGCACCAGTCTTTGTCAAGAAAGCAGCTTTCCTTTGATGAAACAGTGTTAAT